CCCCCCCCCCGGCGTCCCAGGCGCTTGATGTCTCACCCGACCTCGTGCCGTGCCGCATCGTTCCTCGATTCCTTTTACCCATCCCCCTCCTCCCTATCCTCCCCTTGTCGACCATCACCATCATCCCAGTCCTCCCACAAGGTGTCATCCTCCTCTTAAGCGCAGATGCGGCACGGCACGGCACCATCCACTAGTAGCACCCGCCTCCTCTCCTCTCTTCCTCGCCCTCGCTCTTGCCCTCCCTCGGTTCCTCATCGAATCTCGAAACGGTCGGACACGGCAGCGGAGGCCGCACCCTGCCATCCTCTCATCCTGCGACACAGTTGGTTACATTGAACTGACGCGCGCTAGGCCATGTTAAGAGCCGATCGCTCGTCACAACTCGGCCGTCTATCAAACTCCTCTTCACGCGCGCCTCCAACTCTACTTGCTCTTTTCGTCTCCACATATCCTCCCTTGCCCTCCCTCGACAACTACTCTCTCAATTCTCATCGCTGTTCTTCGTCTTCATTCGCCTCGAACCGTACCTTGACGAGTCCTGGGACACCCGCAACGCCCAGCAGATCCCTCCTGAACAACTGAACAGCCACTGGATTGCCAGATCGCCACATCACATCATATAATAGCGACTCATCGCCAACGCCTGTAACAGCCCTCTTGTTCTTGTTACCGCCTCAGCCTGCCCTTCTCCCTTCCGCACCTCCTTTCCAAACCCCCTCCCCATCTCGCCAGTCGACTCGAATTACCATTTGCTGTCACGTCCCCTCCCCATTGACCCGACGCGCACATCCAGCATCTCAGACACCTCTACCCCGGGCTCGCTAACTTGGAATCGACAACAGGCGGATCGACGTGATCATTCAACACGACAGTCTCACTAGCCTACCCCGCATCCCACCTCTGCAGCCCATCGTCATTCACTCCCCCACCTCGACATCTCCCTATCGCTCCCGCAGTGATCTCTGAGCGTACTCTCTGAGCGTACTCCAATTCAAAAGCGATCGGCCAGGCCGGCTGATATCGAACGAGTCTCGACTACTAGCTGGTGACAAGGGACTTTCACCCCCCAACCCCGGACTCACTCCCCTTCCACTCGCCAATGTCTGCTGCACCTCCGCGGCTTGAGCCATAGAATACATTTCTTCTCGACTGCCTCAACGCGCCGTCCCTCCTGAGCCTCCAGCATGCTTCAAGCGCTCTTGGTCCAGGTTCAGCCCAAGCAGGGCAATATCGCCTCCAAGAACTTTCCTGTTGTCGGTGAGTTGGCATCTTGATGTGGTTTGTGCTGTGTCCGCTGCCCGCCATTGCAGCGGTGTGTCCACGTCGCCGTTCGCTGGAACCTGTGCGTTGCACAGGCGAGCCCAAGTGTCCAGGTACCAGCCGGACATGGCACAACATGCAGTGCAACGGGGATGGGCTGTTTGAGGAATCGAACAGAGTTGCATTGGCCGTCGCCGTTGCCACCAGGGCACACCCCTTGGAGGGGTGAACTCTATGTCACCCTGGTGGCGCCCGTGGCGGGAGGTCGGCAGGCACACATAGTCTGTGCAATCGCTCACCACTTTCACAGGCTACTTTGGCGTCACTCCAGTCGTCCTCGCCGGTACAGTGCATGTCAAGGTCGAGGAGGGTGGTCCCAAGATCCCAATCCGCTCCGTCCAAGTCGCCGTCCGATGCTACGAGTCCCGGGATAGTATGCGCTCCACGCGCCGTGATCACGTCATCTACGAAAAGACCAAGCACATCTGGCATCCACCAGCTGGTGTGCAGGACGAGGTTCTCGATGGTTGGGAACAGCCATTCAAGCTCAGCATCCCTCCAGAGGCTGCGGAGCTAGCGCGCGGAACTCAGAACTTGCGCGAGTGGCGCGTGCGGTGGCGTCTCGAGGTGATGGTTGAGCACGTCCCAATACCTCATGTCGGTCACCGCGTCGCCCACGCATACGACATCAATGTGTACGATCACCGGAGCCCATCTCCCTCCCTCCCCTCCCCACCCGCAGGTATGGTCCTCGGCTCTGGGGCAACTGCCACACACGTTCACATCAATCCCCCACCTACAGCCTTCGGTCCATCTGAAAGTCTGAACGTCTCTTTCTCTGTTCGGCCAGACGATCCGTCTACCTCGGTCAAGAAGCTTCAGTTAATTCTCGAGCGTCGCGTAGAATTACTCGACGGCAGACGACCCGTGGGCGGATCGACGGACGACTTGCCAACTCCGCGCCGCTCTAGAGTGCACAATCTCTTCCGGGGCAGTTCCCCATTGTCGAACCGTGGGACCAGCGAAAAGCCCGAACGTGTCATCGTCACACGGATAGCAGACGCGCTGTGCGAGGTGCCCCCACCGGGCCCCAACGGCGCGGTATGGTCGATGGGTTCGCTGCAGCTTCCACGACGAGGCCACAATTGGGCCGTCGGAGAAACCACTCGCACACACTTGGCGGATATTTCTTTTGAGGCGCGTGTGAAAATCACTGTCAAGAACAAGCGTGCGGGCATCCAAAAGGAGCTGGTCTCACAACCAATACCTGTGATCATTGTCGGCGCGACAGCCGAAGAACGTGCGCAAGCGCGAAAGGCCTGGGAACGGCTCGACATACGTACCGTCTCAAGGCGCCGAGTAACTTCGGGGCGCGTCGAAGAAGAAGTGTGGGGGGAGAAGAAGCCTGCCGTGTACATGCACGAGATCGCGGGACTGGGTTCTGCGCCGTGTGTATCCACGCCTCGGCGATCAACACCGCCCTCTAGCGCAGCGACGATGTCTGCGCGTCTCCTTCCCTCTCCCGCGCCATCTGGCGACCGGGATCTCTCCCAACTCGCTCTCCGGACGACGATGTGTTCGACCCCGGACCTAAGCAAAGCTGAGAGCGATGCTTCGGCCAGCATTGTGACGCCGTCGAACGAGAGCGAGTCCGCGCTCGCGCATCACAGCTCTGGCCGGCGCATCTCCGCGACGAGCGAAGACGAGCTCCCCCGCGCCCGCCTGAAGCGCGAGCATTCGAGCGAGCCTTCCCCCGCCATCCCCCGCCGCCGGCTGCAGCTGCCGTCGCTTGATGCGCTCGGCCTCCGCCTCCCCAAGGTCAAAGAGGAGCGCCCTCTGCGCGACCGCCCCGCCACAGCCCCCTCCTTCGGCGTGTACGCCGCCAAGCCCCCGCCCTTCGGCTCGCGCCCCCAGACCTCTGCCGGTTTTGCATTCATCATGCCTGCGCCGCGGCGCTGATCCATCCCCAGCCCCCAGTCCGGTGCCCTTCATGTCTCATCACTCATCGTAGCATATTATCATCTGCATGTATCCACACTAGCGTCGGAGAGGAGGGGTGTGAGAGGGGGAAAGCGGCTGAATCGTGCGGTGTGTGAAATGGAACACGCGGACCGGGACGACCACGGTACCGGGTACGACGGTATCGGGTACGATGGCATGCGGGGAAGCCGCTCGCATCATTGATGATCGCCATGTTTCACGGTCGCTGTCTCACAACGCCTCACAGCGCCTCACACATCGCATGAGGTCCAATTCAACGGATATCGGTCTTGTGGCCTCGCGTTCCTGGTCGGGGTCGGCGTTGGGAGTGCATCGCGTGTGGCATGTGTCATGTGACAGAGAGCCCGGCAGTGTCTCTGGCAGTGTCTCATGTCGGGTATGATGGGATTTCGGGCATGTCAGGTCGCTGTCATCACGGCGTACGGCGTACGGCGTGCGTAGCATCACACCTCCTGGCCTCCTGCCGCCTTGTCGAATTGCAGCACTCCTCCTGTTGCCACTGCCACATGAAGCACGCAAAGGTCGGAGGTTCGAGCTTCTCCGCGTGCTTGCCGTGAATATTGCGGAATGCGACCTCCACCTTGTCCCCTCGAACACGCATACCGCCGCCATCTCGTCACTACCATCTCCTTTGTTCTTCTCCAGCACTCATCGACTACTCCATCGTCCTCATCTCTGCTCTTTTCTTCACGCCGTCCATCACCACGGCAACGCACACATTCTCGACACCGAAGATCTTCTCGCCCAAGTCTCTGCGCGTCTCCGCACCATGGTACGCCTCCCTCCGGCTTCTTTTGCTTCCCGCTTTGGGGCCTACTGATGACACCAGGCCGACGTCGACTCCAAAGGCCCCGCGCCCGTTCCACTCTCGAAGCAGCCCGAGTGGAGCGACGTTGTCCCCGTGCCGCAGGACGATGGGCCCGACCCCCTCGTTCCCATCATGTACTCCCCTATATGTACGCCTTCCCTCGAGCGCGCTAACGCAGACCGCGAGCACATGGACTATTTCCGTGCCGTAAGCGCCACCGGCGAGCGCAGCGACCGCGTGCTTGAACTTACTGAGGCGATCGTCCGTCTCAACCCAGCCCACTACACGGTCTGGTGCGCGGCCCCCCCGTCCACGCTAATGTAAGGCAGTACCGCTTCGCGACACTAGTCGCTCTGAAGAAGGACCTCGCAGCCGAGCTCGATCTTATGAACGAGTTTGCGCGCGCAAACCTCAAGAGCTACCAGGTGTGGCACCACCGCCTGCTGCTCCTCGAGGCGCTGTCGCCTGCCGATCCCGTCGACGAGATCGCCTTCATCCACGACTCGCTCGGCCCCGATACCAAGAACTACCACACTTGGGCGTATCTGCACTGGCTGTACTGCCACTTCTCGGGGCTCGGACGCATCTCGGACGAACACTGGGCGCGCGAACTGGAGTGGTGCGATGACATGCTCAAGTTGGACGGGCGGAATAACTCGGCGTGGGGGTGGCGCTGGTTCTTGCGCATGGCCAGGCCGGGTGTTGAGGGATTGAATGGAGAGGAGGAGATCAAGTGAGTGACGGTGGGCGACAGGTCTCGTGAAGAGAGCGCGAAGACGAGGATCAGATCATAACGGGGAGATCCAGGCTCGTCGAGCTGATCGCTTGAGCGTTGGAGTGATGCCCACTTCCATCCCACCTTTTATAGTACGCAAGCTCACGTCAGATACGCCCTCGAGCAGATCCACATAATTCCGCACAACGCGAGTGCCTGGAACTACCTGCGCGGCGTCGTGCGCGTGACTGGCGCAGCGCGTGCCCCTCTCATCCCCGTCCTAGCGGCGTACATGGCGGGAAGCGCGGTGCCGCCCAGGGCGCCTACAGAGGAAGTGGCCAAGGATGCCTGGCCGAACCGCTCAGGACCGGTGGATATTCAGACGCCGCTGCCGGTGCCTTTGGCGCTGGAGTTCCAGGCGGACGCGCTGGTGGAAGGCGGGCGCCTCGGTGACGCCGCGGCCGTGTACGGCCAGCTCGGCGCGAGTGTCGACCGCATGCGCAGTGCCTACTGGGAGATGCGGCGGGGCGAATGTGTCAACGCGTAGGCGGGGCGAGGTGCCAGGCAGGCGCTGGGCGCGATCCAAGTGTCCATTGCCGAGTGCCGAGTGCCGAGGCGTGAGAGGCGTGAGAGGCGTGAGAGGGCGAAAGAGCGAAAGAGCGAAAGGGCGATAGACAGGAGGGCAAAAGGGCAGGAGGGCAATGGCTAGTGCAGAAGTGCAGATCGGGGGGCGTGAGTGACGAGAGAGAGAAGAGAGAGCGCCAGAGTGGGTGTGCATAGTTTCCATTATATCATAGTTGGGTCCAGGCGACCGCGCCTAAGCGTTGTTGTCCACGGGACGATGAACCGACGTCGATCCGCACAGATGGCGCACACGGCTACTTGCAGTTAATGTACTTGGCAATACCGACGGCCTACGGCGTACGATGAGGAAAGTGAGGTTTGCCGATTGTCAACTGCGGCCGGGATCGTACCAATATGACTGAATGCAAGTGTATTCGGGAATTACGTTCGGGTTCCAGTAGATAGTGAATGACGGACGCTGATCGGATCTAGGATATCCGTATGGACTATGGATCACATGATGTGCGTCATCGGAATGTCGCCCTCATTTTGTTATCGACCTGAACGCCATGGCGCTCCTCGCAGCAGAGAGCGACCTCTTCCGAAGGCCCTCGCTATTCTCCTCGCCACGTCGCCACTCACTCTCACACGTTCGCATCCGGTCGGAGGGCAGCGCCAGCGCAGATCTCGGCTGTGTGCAGGATGGGATGGATCTTGCGAGCGTTTGAGGACCAGCGCAACAGTCATGGTCATGAACACGACTCCGACCACAGACATGGCGTCCCCGCACCTACAGACTCGCGCCCTTGTTCAATGGGCACGCAGGCACAGGCAGCTGGGGCTACTGCCGGCGGGACACGAACACGGCACACGTTCCATACCGCCCAGATCTTCGGGGCGAAGGCCAGAGCTCGGGAAGGACATGGCGGGGTGCGTGGAGATTGAGAGTGGGAGTGGGAGAGGAGAGAGTGAGGGTAACAGAGGGGACAGCGGCGTCTCCACAAAACCCCCAGATCGGATGAGGCCCGACAATTGACGCATAGTCGTAGAAAGATTGGAGGGGGACGCCATGCGTCATAATCCCACGCGCCCATGCAGCCTCCTCCTCCCTCCTCACATTGTCGCTCATCGTCGCCGCCCTCGTCCTCATTCCCACTCTCCCTCTACACACTCGTCGCATCGCCTCCTCCTCTTCCCACATCCTCACCTCTCACGTTCCCACCTCCGTCGTCCCCACCGCTTGCTCCCGCTCCCCACCCCTCCGTCCTGGCCCAGCCGCCCAGCACCTTATAAGCAGCGCGGTTCCCCCTCTCGTTCATCACCACCCACCTCTCTCTCTCTCTTTTTCCTTTCCCTCCCTCACCCCCTCCTACCCACACCCAACCAAAACCAAAACCACCTCACCCAAAATGGCTCCCGGCAAGTACGACGCGACGACGCCGCCTAAGGCCTCGCAGCTCGACCCCAAGCTTATCGGCAAGCTGCTCGTCGATCTCCGCTCCGAGATCGACACCCTCAAGAGCAGCTACGATGTCCAGGCCGTCATGGACTTCCAGCGCGCCGCCAACTTCCTGTGAGTTCTGCCTATCTCGCCATGGAAAGACCGTCGCTGACCTCCAGCTCGGCCGCCCAGATCTTCCTCCGCTCCAATGCCCTCATGAAGCGCCCCCTCGAGCAGCGCGACGTCAAGCGCCGTCTCCTCGGCCACTGGGGTACCTGCCCCGGTCTCAACTTTGCGTACGCCCACGCTACGCAGCTCATCTCCGAGCTCGAGGAGAAGGGCGAGGACCCCGACTGGCTCTTCATCACTGGCGTGAGTGTCTCTGACGGGAAGGTGATGGGGCGCTATGATGCGAGAGTGTCAAAGATTACACTATCAGCATTGCGCCCCTGATGACGAGGCTTGGCCGATCCGATTCCCCGATACCAATTGCTTACACTCCAGCCTGGCCACGGCGCCCCCGCCGTCCTCTCGACCCTCTACCTCGAGGGCTCGTTCACCAAGTTCTACCCCGAGTACGACTTCTCTGAGGACGGCTTCGAGAAGTTCGTCCGCGCCTTTTCGTTCCCCGGCGGCTTCCCCTCGCACGTCAACGGTGAGTTTGGCTTTAGGGCCTTATCGGCATCATCGGCGTTCTCTGACGTCAGCCGAGACCCCCGGTGCCATCCACGAGGGTGGTGAGCTTGGCTATGCCCTCGCCGTCGCCTACGGCGCCGTCATGGACCGCCCCGATGCCATCAGCGTCGTGGTTGTCGGTGACGGTGAGGCCGAGACTGGCCCTACCGCTGCCGCCTGGCACGCCCACAAGTACCTCGACCCCGCCACCAACGGTGCCGTCATCCCCATCCTCCACATCAACGGCTACAAGATCGGCGAGCGCACCATCGCCGGCTGCATGGACGACCTCGAGCTCGCCGCTCTCTTCGTCGGCTACGGCTTCCTCCCTCGCATCGTCGAGTACGGCAAGGTCGGCGACCGCGAGCCCGATGGATCGACCAGCCACGAGCACGACGTGTCGGTCAACTACGACATGGCTGCCAGCATGCGCTGGGCTCTCGGCGAGATCCGCAAGATCCAGAAGGCTGCCCGCGGCGGCAAGCCCATTACCAAGCCCCGCTGGCCCGTGATCCTCATGCGCACCCCCAAGGGCTGGACCGGCCCCCGCGAGGTCGGCGGCAACCCCGTCGAGGGCTCGTGGCGCTCGCACCAGGGTGAGTAGCTTCACATGCCCTCCATGTCACCAGACACTAACCCACACAGTCCCCGTCAACGCCTGTGCGACCGACAAGGGCCACTTTGAGCAGCTCGTGCACTGGCTCAAGTCGTACCGCCCCGAGGAGCTCTTCCACACTGGCGGCAGCGGCCACCTCATCGACCCGCGCGTGACCAAGATCGTGCCCAAGAAGGAGAAGCTCCGCATGGGCCAGAACACGGCCACGTACGACGCCTTTGAGCCCCTCAAGGTGCCCGACTGGCGCAACTTCCTGCACAACAAGGACGACGACGTCAGCAACATGAAGGCGATCGGCGCGTACGTCAAGGAGATTGTGGCCCTCAACCCCAAGTCGTTCCGCATCTTCTCGCCGGACGAGATCACCTCCAACAAGCTCGACGCCTGTCTCGAGATCACGCACCGCGACTTCCAGTGGGACCCCGAGACGGCTCACGACGGCGGCCGCGTCACCGAGATGCTCAGCGAGCACACGCTCCAGGGCTTCCTCCAGGGCTACACCCTCACCGGTCGTCACGGCATGTTCCCCTCGTACGAGGCTTTCCTCGGCATCGTCGCTACGATGATCGACCAGTACGCCAAGTACATCAAGATGGCTGAGGAGACTCCCTGGCGTCGTCCTATCGCGGGCGTGAGTCCTGGTAACCTGCAACGCTGATCCCAGCTCCTTTACATCATGACCTCGACCCTCTGGCGCCAGGAGCACAACGGCTACTCGCACCAGAACCCCGGTCTTGTCGGCAGCTTCATCTCGCTCCCCCGCAACCTTGCCCGCATCTACTTCCCCGCCGACGCCAACACTTCGGTCAGCACTGCTGACCACTGCCTGCGCTCGAAGAACTGTGAGCTTACCGTCTTGCACCACAGCTGACTCCAGTCATCAACCTCATCGTTGGCTCCAAGAACCCCACCCGCGTTCTCCTTACGGCCGAGGAGGCCGAGGAGCACTGCGTCGCCGGTGCCTCTGTGTGGAAGGCTTACTCGACGGACGGCGGCGTCAACCCCGACGTGGTCCTCGTCGGCTGCGGTGTCGAAGTGACGCACGAAGTGATCGCGGCCTCGGCCATCCTCCGCAACCACGGCATCCGCGTGCGCGTGGTCAACGTCAACGACCTCCTGGTGCTCGGCCCCGCCGAGGGTCTGCGCGCGCACCCCCACGCGCTCTCCGACTCGGCCTTCTACGGCCTCTTTACCGTCGACAAGCCCGTGGTCGTCAACTTCCACGGCTACCCCAAGGACATTGAGGGCCTCCTCTTCGGCCGCGCCCAGAAGGACCGCTGGCGCGTCCAGGGCTACATCGAGGAGGGCACGACCACGTCGCCCTGGTCGATGCTCCGCGTGAACCACTGCAGCCGCTACGACCTCGCCGACATTGCCGTCGAGCTCGTGTGCAAGCTCACGCCCAACCACCCCATCAGCGCCGACGCCAACAGACTCCAGATGAACTGGCGCCACGAGCTCCGCAACCACCAGAAGTACGTCGAGGACACGGGCGAGGACCCCGCGTGGTGCAACGAGATCCCCGAGGTCAAGGAGCGCAAGTAGGCTGTCCGCGAGACTACGCCACACTCGTTCCAGAAGTGATTCACACTGCGCCTAGTTGTGTATAGTATCTGATGTAAATTGTGCGCAGTACAGGGCATCCCACGACTTGGTAGATCACCTTGCGACTTTGCGACTCACCAATACTTGCACATGACTTTACTACTCACAGTCCACGATACGACTTGGTTCCGCGTCCGCGGCGGCGGCGAGGAGAGCGGAAAGTACAGGAGCAGCGTTGGATGAATGGGGTGGTGGAAGTTCAGCGCGGAAGCCAACCGGGCCCGGGTTATTCAAACCCGGCGGCGGCGATACATCACAAGACAAGCCGCGCATCGACTGCAGTCACTCCCCGAAGGAGAGCGCAATGGACAGGTGCAGCGAAAGGGGAGGATTGTAAACTATATAACAACGGCGGCGTGAAGGGCCGCTGCTTCTGAGAAGGCTGGAATGCAATATACTAACAACAAACAACGCCGATGTGCGCAAGAATCGAGGCCAGCGCTCCCCTTGTACCATTCGTTTGAATCCAGCAGCGCCAAGGGCACGAGTGCGTCAGTACGCAACAGCTCGCACAACAGCTCACGCAGCCGCATCTTAACATCGTCCTTCTCAGCCTCCCGCGTGCGCCACCTCCTCCGCTTGCACCCGCGCAATCTCGAGGGGCTGGCTTCACGTGGGATGGTTACTCGAGTTGGCGGAGGCGTTCGAGCACAATTGCACTTACCAACCAAAAAAGCGCGCGCGGCCGAAGAGACCCGTCCGCAAAAGTAGGCGAGGAAGGCTCGCCAGTCGCGGTCATCCCGAACGGGCTTGACACCTCGATGTGTCGCTCGCGAGGCGACACCCGCACCATCACGTGGGTTGAGCCGTTCGACAGGACGCCGACGTTACAACGCGCCAAGACGAGATAAGCCGCAAGATCGAGTACTAGACTACGTAATCCTTCATTGGAATTATATTTAGAAGAACAGCCGTGGGACTTGCAGCGTTGTAGACCTCCCCCGATGCAGTACGTGTTTCCAGTCCAGTTGACCGACATGACACGCTCGTAGATGGATGCTGCTCACTCGCGTTCAGAAGCGGCTCTTTCTACTTGCTCGTCTTACGTCCGTCGTTCTGCTACGCGAATGCACGCACTTTGCTCAGTGGCTCGCATTGAGTGTGGCGCTGTGGGCCTGCCACCCACATGTCGCCTTCTAGCTACAGAATTACACCACATGTCTGCTCTCAATCAAGCGGGCTGGTCGTCACCGCCAGGGGCAGTATGCCCAGGCATGCCCGGCGGCCGGCAAACATGCGAGTCAAACAAACACGCCAGATAGGCAAAAGCATGCCAGCGTACAGGAGCATGGGAGCAGCGCAGTAGACGAAGCATCGATACGTCATGACTGTCATGGCAGCTAACCAGCCTTTCATTCTGCACACCCGTGTCACTCTACGTGGCCTGAAATACAACCATGTCTATCTTCAGTTGGCAAAGGCGCTGATGCCGGTCATGGCCTTGCCGAGGATGAGGGTGTGGACGTCATACGTGCCCTCGTACGTGTTGCACACTTGGAGGTTGGCTTCGTGGCGGCCGACGCCGTACTCGTCCGAGCAAGCGTTTCCGCCAAAGATGTCGAGAAGCACGCGCGCCTGCTGCAGCGCCTGTCCGCAGTTGTTGCGTTTGAGCATCGAGATCATCTCGGGGTTGTACTCGCCCTGGTCGATCTGGCGGCCGAGCTGCAGGGCGGCGAGGAGGCCAAACGTCGCCTGTGTGCTCGCGTCCACGAGCTTGCGCTGCACGAACTGGAACGATGCGAGGGGGCGATTGAACTGGTGCCTGCTGTCAGAAGGGCTCTGCGCGCATCGTCATGTCAAACTCGGCCGCGGCCTCGGCTTCGGCCTCGCGGCCTCGAGCTCGAGCACAGCCCCAACACATAACGTACCGCTCCAGGGCGTATGCGCGCGCGCGCTCAATGCAGTCCTCGAGGGCGCCCATGACACCCCAGGAGATGCCGAATCGGGCGTGGTTGAGGCACGAGAAGGGTGCGCCGAGGCCGTTCGACTTTTCGAGCACGTTCTCGGCGGGGATGTGCACGTTGTCAAGGAAGACGGAGCCCGTGACGGATCCGCGCAGCGCGAGCTTGTTTGTGATCTGCGGCGTCTCGATGTGGCCGGCGTCACGCGGCACGATGAAGCCGCGGTTCTTGCCCCGCACGCCGTTCTCCACCGTCGTCGCCCAGATGACGAAGAAGTCGCCAAAGGGCGCATTTGTGATCCACGTCTTGGCGCCGTTGATGATCCACCCGTCCTTGGTCTTGGTCGCTGTCGTCTCCATCGACGACGGATCCGAGCCGTGGTTGGGCTCTGTCAGGCCGAAGCAGCCGAGGATCTCGGCCGTCGCGAGGCCAGGAAGGTACTTTTCCTTTTGGGCGTCGCTGCCAAACTGGTTGATGGCGGTCATGACCAGAGATGACTGGACACTCATGGCGGAGCGGAACCCCGAGTCGATCCTAGCGTCAGCTTCTGCG